CCATGTGCAGAAGTTATCATTGGTAACCAACCAGGGCTTAAGGAGATGACGGATCATGAAATAAAACAGTGGGGAAAAGAAAACATACCCGAGATGGCAGAAGAGTTGATAATGGACTCATAGCCAAAAGACAAATGCAGTTAGGGAAATTTAAAGTGAGAATTTGAATCAGGATGAAATAGAAAAACATTGTCACAGTAGTGGCAAGAAGTGCAACAAAAAAGCAACAAATGCAAGAGCAATCCGTAAATATAGATGCAGAAAAGATGCCAGTAACTGCAGAGGATGAGAACACTAGGAAGAGATTGTGCCAAGAGCAGACAAAGGATGTAACACTAAAAAAGTGTTTGGATACAGCTAATTTGCCAGCAGATAATTTTACAATAAATCAAAATGGTGTGCTAACAAACTATAAAGTACAGGCAAAGTTAATAATGCATTTTCTGTTAAAATAATTTTGACATTAGTTGGATCAAGTGCTAGTTATTGTGTTAAATTTGGTAGGAATGTTGCAACATTAACTTGTCAGGTATTCACAGTACCATTGAACAGGCAGCCTAAAAAATTAAACTGGGACCACAAGAAACAGATAAAATATAATGCTTTTGAGCGTGAGGCATTAGCTGTTGTGATAAGTTAAGTGAAATTTCAGAGATTCCTAATCGGAAAAGAATTTGCAATTATTACAGCTAGTCTGGCATTGGTGAAACTGCAAGATACAGATGCTAACAGAAACGCTAGGGTATACCGTTGGGCACTATTATTACAACAGTTAAAGGGGTTGATAACCACATTCCAGACATTATGTCCAGCAAGAAGAAGTAATCAAAAGGGGACATAAGAAAGGGAAATGGGAGATACTTATTGTTAACTCTACCAGACCGCTGGCCCGCTATTACAGGAATTTCCCAATCTGCCCCTTACCGCTGTTCCTTAATGTCGGGAATTTGCGTACTATGAGAAAACAATGCGTCACAAACTAAAAATAGCTAGCTAATCGCTATCATACCTCGTGGTTAGTCATTGCGAATTGCTGCCCACATGCGTCTGGGTTTTCTTTGTGTTGCTTGACGGGAAAAATTCTAAAAATTCACAATTAAACGAGCGGCTGATGAACCAGGCACTTTGACAGGAAAGTAAAGTAGGTCTAGGCTTTTCACAGTCCAACAGGTGATCAATACTTTGGTTGATTTAGACTCTTGAGGAGTCAGAATTTTATGAAGAATACGTTCCTAGTTAAAGTGATACAGTCAGAGTGATGAGGAGAGTCTTGAAAATTATAGATTTAAAACTAGATCGATAGTAAGAAAAGGGGTGTGTCACTCAGACAGCAACATATGGTGCTCACTTTGTGAAACAAGGCTGATATTTCTGGGTAGAATTGCACACAAAGATGGAATATTGGCACTAGATAAAAGGTAAAACTATTTTCTACAATGTCTCCAAGTTTCAACTTATTCTAACTACTTGTTTGCATGTAACTAATATTTTTGTATATCATGTTGGTTTTTCGTGTTGATGCCCAGGAGCTCAGGCATAGGGGGCAGTTAGGTTCAGGGCCTCAGATCTGGTAGGGTTAATAGGTTAACGTCATTACTAACAGATGTGCAATTAACGTGTTGTTACTAACAATTTAATATTCAATTTAAATAAATGTTGTATGATGTGATGATGTGAAATTGATGATGAGAAATGATGTATAAGAGTTGATAATAAAACAACAGACATATTATGTTAATAGAAAATTTATTAACTGGGAATTAGAAATGTAAGTCAAAGTTGATAATGCTCCAGCATATACTTCTCAATCAATTAGATCATCGTCCCCTTGTGAGATGCAGTTTTTTTGTTATTTGAAGCCCCAACCTGGCTCTTTCCAGGGGCCGTAATATAGCCCGGCCATAAATATGGCCTAATGGCTGAACACGGTTGCGGGACCTCTCCAAGGTGATCCTCATCCACATGGTGGCACTTTGTGTCATCAGGTGTTTATCGCTTGTGTGATGTCCTAGTGAGGTAAAATGTACTACTACTACTAAAGTTTTGTATTGTAAATGAATAGTACATTTCAGAAAAACAGATGAAAAGTAAGTGTAAATTATGTATGAGTATAGAATAAAGTTGCCTTAATGCTAAGATGGAAACAGTTCTGGCAAAGCTTTTGGGTTATAAACCATGATAACTGAGAAATGCCAACAAGTAATAGCAGTCAATTTGAATGAACTGTTAACAGGAACTTGGTTTTATGGGTCAGTACAGAACTGTTCGGCCTAAACTTTTTTTTTGGGGAGCCATTTTTGGACTTCTGAGTTGTAGAGGAACACATTGGGGTGTTGTTCAGTCTTATTAAGAAGACTGACTTCAAGTCTTGATAAGTATGTCACAGGGCCTATATGGTCGTCCACGTTGTTTGAGGAAAGCTTTGGGGTGTTGTTCAGTCTTATTAAGAAGACTGACTTCAAGTCTTGATAAGTATGTCACAGGGCCTATATGGTCGTCCACGTTGTTTGAGGAAAGCTTTGGGGTGTTGTTCAGTCTATTAAGAAAACTGACTTCAAGTCTTGATAAGTATGTCACAGGGCCTATATGGTCGTCCACGTTGTTTGAGGAAAGCTTTGGGGTGTTGTTCAGTCTATTAAGAAAACTGACTTCAAGTCTTGATAAGTATGTCACAGGGCCTATATGGTCATCCACGTTGTTTGAGGAAAGCTTTGGGGTGTTGTTCAGTCTTATTAAGAAGACTGACTTCAAGTCTTGATAAGTATGTCACAGGGCCTATATGGTCGTCCACGTTGTTTGAGGAAAGCTTTGGGGTGTTGTTCAGTCTTATTAAGAAGACTGACTTCAAGTCTGGATAAGTATGTCACGGGGCCTATATGGTCGTCCACGTTGTTTGAGGAAAGCTTTGGGGTGTTGTTCAGTCTTATTAAGAAGACTTACTTCAAATCTTGATAAGTATGTCACAGGGCCTATATGGTCGTCCACGTTGTTTGAGGAAAGCTTTGGGGTGTTGTTCAGTCTTATAAAGAAGACTGACTTCAAGTCTTGATAAGTATGTCACAGAGCCTATATGGTCGTCCACGTTGTTTGAGGAAAGCTTTGGGGTGTTGTTCAGTCTTAAGAAGACTGACTTCAAGTCTGGATAAGTATGTCACAGAGCCTATATGGTTGCCACGTTGTTTGAGGAAAGCTTTGGAGAAATGTTTCTTGAACATATTGCCAAGAACTGTCAAGGGAAATAACAAGAGATGCTACAGCTGTGGTACAAGTCAGAAAACTCATGGAAGAGTTACAGTTGAAAGCTACTAGCAAAGGAATAATAGTGAAGCAAGGCACTCTATTCTTATGTGAGTGTTTATATAGGGTATGAAACAAAATATTTTTGTTTGTTTAAGGGGAGGAGAAATGTAATGATGCTATAAATAGGGATAACATCAGGGTATGACTGACTGAATTGTGGAAGTCACTAATAGCATGAGTTTTGCAGGGAGATGGTGAAAAGACAGAAGTGAGTGAGTTAGGTGTGAATGTGAGATCTGGGGGATTGAGAATGAGGTGGTCATTCTGTGACTAGACCCCAGATTGAAAGGAAGTGAAGGTGAATTCAGAGTGATAAGTATAAATGTGGATCTGGATGAGAATCCAGTGAACGTAAATTCTGAACGACAAGAAGCAGAGCTGTGCTGAGTAACTGTTCAGGATAGCAGTTGAGCAAGCTTGCTCAAATGGCATAAATGATTAGTTCTACTGTTGATTCTAGTCGCTTGTGTTTTTTTGACAATAAACCTGTGAAGTGCTGTCAATTGTCTCGACTGTCATTTAAAGACGAGTGACAGTTGGAAAGAAGAGAAGTTAGGCTGGAATGAACTGTGACATAACACCTAGACAACAGAGCTAGTGTTGAATCAGCACAAGAGAGATTAAGTGCGGAGGAGACATTACATACACTATCTGATCACTTGTGCGTGCTTACGCTTGGGGAGCATAGAAATACTGTTGTGTCACAGATAGATGAATGAAGACATGAGAACCTCACAATATATGGTAGGTAAATGGAGGCATGAAAACTTCACAATATATGATAGGTGAATGGGGACTTGAAAACTTTACAATATATGGTGGATAAATGGGGACTTGAAAACTTTACAATATATGGTGGATGAATGGAGACTTGAAAACTTCACAATATATGGTGGATGAATATAGGCATGAAAACTTCACAATATATGGTGGATGAATATAGGCATGAAAACTTCACAATATATAATAGGTGAATGGGGACTTGAAAACTTTACAATATATGGTGGATAAATGGGGACTTGAAAACTTTACAATATATGGTGGATGAATGGAGACTTGAAAACTTCACAATATATGGTGGATGAATATAGGCATGAAAACTTCACAATATATGGTGGATGAATATAGGCATGAAAACTTCACAATATATAGTAGGTGAATGGAGGCATGAAAACTTCACAATATATGGTGGACGAATGGAGACTTGAAAACTTCACAATATATGGTGGATGAATGGAGACTTGAAAACTTCACAATCTATGGTAGGTGAATGGAGGCTTGAAAACTTCACAATATATGGTGGATGAATGGAGACTTGAAAACTTCACAATATATGGTGGATGAATATAGGCATGAAAACTTCACAATATATGGTGGATGAATGGAGACTTGAAAACTTCACAATATATGGTGGATGAATGGAGACTTGAAAACTTCACAATTTATGGTAGGTGAATGGAGGCATAAAAAACTTCACAATATATGGTGGATGAATGGAGACTTGAAAACTTCACAATTTATGGTAGGTGAATGGAGGCATAAAAAACTTCACAATATAAGGTAGGGGAATCGAGTCATGCAGAATTCTGAAATATGGTATGCAAATGGAGACAACACAGTAGTTGCTGTGTTAATTTTCCTTATGAAGGTGATAAAAAAGTAGTAATTGAGAAAATCAGTAATCGATGTATTGTTCCCAGAACTGTGTGGAGCAGCTTTTTGACGATGATAAAGTCAACGTATCCAAGAATGGAGCCTTTGCTGAAGAGTTTGCCATCAGCATCAGAGACTGGGTGATGGAACTGGATGGCAGGATAGGTGGGTAGCTGTTGTCTGTGATGTCCACATAGGTGGGTAGCTGTTGTCTGTGATGTTCACATAGGTGGATAGCTGTTGTCTGTGATGTCCACATAGGTGGGTAGTTGTTGTCTGTGATGCCCACATAGGTGGGTAGCTGTTTTTTGTGATATCCACCAAGGTGGGTGGCTGTTGTCTGTGATGCCCACATAGGTGGGTAGCTGTTTTTTGTGATATCCACCAAGGTGGGTGGCTGTTGTCTGTGATGCCCACATAGGTGGGTAGCTGTTTTTTGTGATATCCACCAAGGTGGGTGGCTGTTGTCTGTGATGTCCACATAGGTGGATAGCTGTTGTCTGTGATGTCCACTGTAGTGAGTCATTTTCTTCCCATTAAGTTATGCCCGATAGATGACGTCAGTAATAAATGTAAGGCGAATGTTTGACTGACTGAGATAACACGAGATTTATGTCTTGAGTTTCATGAGAGACATCTGAAAGTCAGGTTTTATGTGAAACATGATTGTTCACGTGAAACCATGAAGGTTGACTGGCATGATTCGTATGAAATGCGAAGTATCACGGGCCAGACACAACAATTCGTGAGAATGAAATTATCCAGAATATTCGAGAACAGGACAGATCAAAGGGCTATATAATAGCGAAGAAAAGGTTTGTGAGGCAGTCTCGTTTAGGCCGAGGGAAAGGTGTACGTGTGGAAAGTTCGGAAGAATGTTGACGTCTGAATAGCGTGATTTCCCAATGCCTACCTGGCATAAAATAGCGGCTGACGGAAACGGTGGCCAGCTGTGAATGACTGTCGTTCTGGATGGAGGGAGCTACTGTGTTTTCTTTGAATTGTGTGTGTATTCGACGATGTTACAAAGGTATGATTGACTGTTTAGATCATTGATTAAGAGTGCTACGGTTGTACATGAACATTTACTGACTGCAACAACAGCGAGTGAAAATAAACAGTACGTGTAACTTCTGAACGTCTGCCAGCGTCCATGTTTTCTCGTTCTTGTCAGTCGGTGAATGGAGAGATGCAGTGACTCATTCGAGCCAGCAATTAATAACAATGAAGATCACTGCATCCACATAGGTGGGTAGCTGTTGTCTGTGATGTCCACAAAGGTGGGTAGCTGTTGTATGTGATGTCCACATAGGTGGTTAGCTGTTGTCTTTGATGTTCACATAGGTGGTTAGCTGTTGTCTGTGATGTCCACATTAGTGGGTAGCTGCTGTCTGTGATGTCCACATAGGTGGGTAGCTGTTTTCTGTGATGTCTACATAGGTAAGTAGTTGTTGTCTCTGTGATATCCACTTAGGTGGATAGCTGTTGTCTGTGATGTCCACATAGGTGGATAGCTGTTGTATGTGATGTCCACATAGGTGGGTAGCTGTTGTCTGTGATGTCCATATTGGTGGGTAGCTGCTGTATGTGATGTCCACATAGGTGGATAGCTGTTGTCTGTGATGTCCACATAGGTGTGTAGCTGTTGTCTGTGATGTCCACATAGGTGGATAGCTGTTGTCTGTGATGATCACATAGGTGGATAGCTGTTGTCTGTGATGTCCACATAGGTGGGTTGCTGTTGTCTGTGATGTTCACATAGGTGGATAGCTGTTGTCTGTGATGTCCACATAGGTGGGCAGCTGTTGTCTGTGATGTCCACATAGGTGGGTAGCTGTTGTCTGTGATGTTCACATAGGTGGGCAGCTGTTGTCTGTGATATCCACATAGGTGGGCAGCTGTTGTATGTAATGTCCACATAGGTGGGTAGCTGTTGTCTGTGATGTCCACATAGGTGGATAGCTGTTGTCTGTGATGTCCACATAGGTGGGCAGCTGTTGTCTGTGATGTCCACATAGGTGGGCAGCTGTTGTATGTGATGTCCTCATAGGTGGGCAGCTGTTGTCTGTGATGTCCATATAGGTGCGTAGCTGTTGTCTGTGATGTCCACATAGGTTTGTAACTGTTGTCTGTGATGTCCACATCGGTAAGTAGCTGGTGTCTGTGATGTCCACATCGGTAAGTAGCTGTTGTCTGTGATGTCCACATAGGTGGGTGGCTGTTGTCTGTGATGTCCATATTGGTGGGTAGCTGCAGTCTGTGATGTCCACATAGATGGGTAGCTGTTGTCTGTGATGTTCACATAGGTGGGTAGCTGTTGTCTGTGATATCCACATAGGTGGGCAGCTGTTGTATGTAATGTCCACATAGGTGGGCAGCTGTTGTATGTGATGTCCTCATAGGTGGGCAGCTGTTGTCTGTGATGTTCACATAGGTGGGCAGCTGTTGTCTGTGATGTTCACATAGGTGGGCAGCTGTTGTCTGTGATGTTCACATAGGTGGGCAGCTGTTGTCTGTGATGTTCACATAGGTGGGTAGCTGTTGTATGTAATGTCCACATAGGTGGATAGCTGTTGTCTGTGATGTCCTCATAGGTGGGCAGCTGTTGTCTGTGATGTTCACATAGGTGGGCAGCTGTTGTCTGTGATGTTCACATAGGTGGGCAGCTGTTGTCTGTGATGTCCATATTGGTGGGCAGCTGTTGTCTGTGATGTTCACATAGGTGGGCAGCTGTTGTCTTTGATGTCCTCATAGGTGGGCAGCTGTTGTCTGTGATGTCCATATAGGTGCGTAGCTGTTGTCTGTGATGTCCACATAGGTGGGTGGCTGTTGTCTGTGATGTCCATATTGGTGGGTAGCTGCAGTCTGTGATGTCCACATAGATGGGTAGCTGTTGTCTTTGATTTCTACATAGGTGGGTAGCTGTTGTCTGTGATGTCCACATAGGGGGTAGCTGTTGTCTGTGATATCCACATAGGTAGGCAGCTGTTGTCTGTGATGTTCACATAGGTAGGCAGCTGTTGTATGTGATGTTCACATAGGTAGGCAGCTGTTGTCTGTGATGTCCACATAGGTGAGCAGCCTAACCTGTACACCACAACACAATGTCATAACCACCCTTTTAAATTTGTGGGGTGTCGTTTGAACCAAACAAAACTGCATCCACATTAGTACCATTATTTTTTTAAAACATCTTACGTTTTGTGAACACGTTTTGCATTGTCAGGGTGTAAGTTTGATCCCAGCTGTGGACGATTTGTTTTGCTTTGGTTTTTAGAATGGTAATAAGAGCTGACTGTTCAGTAGAAGTGGTAGACTACTGAATTTACATTTGCCTAGACAAACCACAACAGCCACAAAATGCTGGTGTTGGTTCTGTAATTCATGTAAAGCTGGGCTATTCAACTGAGGGCCCGTGGGGGCCTAGCAAGTGGCCCATGGAGGCCTAGCAAGTGGCCAGTGGAGGCCTAGCAAGTGGCCCATGGTAGCCTAGCAAGTTGTCCATGGAGGCCTAGCAAGTGTCCCGTGGAGGCCTAGCAAGTGACCAGTGGAGGCCTAGCAAGTGGCCCGTGGAAGCCTGGCAAGTGGTCCATGGAGGCCTAGCAAGTGGCCCATGGAAGCCTAGCAAGTGGTCCATGGAGGCCTAGCAAGTGGCCCGTGGAGGCCTAGCAAGTGGCCCGTGGAGGCCTAGCAAGTGGCCCGTGGAGGCCTAGCAAGTGGCCCCTGGAGGCCTAGCAAGTGGCCCATGGAGGCCTAGCAAGTGGCCCGTGGAGGCCTAGCAAGTGGCCCATGGAGGCCTAGCAAGTGGCCCATGGAGGCCTAGCAAGTGGCCAGTGGAGGCCTAGCAAGTGGCCCATGGAAGCCTAGCAAGTGGTCCATTAAGGCCTAGCAAGTGGCCTGTGGAGGCCTAGCAAGTGGCCCCTGGAGGCCTAGCAAGTGGCCCGTGGAGGCCTAGCAAGTGGCCCCTGGAGGCCTAGCAAGTGGCCCCTGGAGGCCTAGCAAGTGGTACATGCAGGCCTAGCAAGTGGCCTGTGGAGGCCTAGCAAGTGGCCCATGGAGGCCTAGCAAGTGGCCGATGGAAACCTAGCAAGTGGTCTATGGAGGCCTAGCAAGTGGCCCCTGGAGGCCTAGCAAGTGGTCAATGGAGGCCTAGCAAGTGGCCCGTGGAGGCCTAGCAAGTGGCCCATGGAGGCCTTGCAAGTGGCCTGTGGAGGCCTAGGAAGTGGCCCCTGGAGGCCTAGCAAGTGGCCCCTGGAGGCCTAGCAAGTGGCCCCTGGAGGCCTAGCAAGTGGCCCCTGGAGGCCTAGCAAGTGGCCCCTGGAGGCCTAGCAAGTGGCCCCTGGAGGCCTAGCAAGTGGCACGTGGAGGCCTAGCAAGTGGCCTCTGGGGGCCTAGCAAGTGGCCCATTGAGGCCTAGCAAATGGCCTGTGGAGGCCTAGCAAGTGGCCCATGGAGGCCTAGCAAGTGGCCCATGGAGGCCTAGCAAGTGGCCCATAGATCATTTGCTAATTGACAGTGTATTCATGATCTTTCAGTGCTGGGGCTCAGATCTCTGGACCCTGAAGATCCAGTTTTCAGACAGTTTGCTCCCTGAAATAACTGAGTTGAATAGCCCTGCTGTAAAGGATACACAGCTACTGAGTGACTTTTGACTCCACCAGGACATCACACTGATAAACACCCGGTGACACAAAGTGTCACCATTCGGAGTAGGGCCCGAGCAACAGCCACGGTGGGGCTTTAAAAGAACAAAATATTCATTTCACATGGGGATGGAATTGTAGTGATATGACTGCACGGCCAACTCCTACAAGGTGGGCTGCTAGATTGAGACCTGGTTGTTGACCATTTGGTAGTACCACAATTCTTCATATTTTTTTAAGGCTTAACTATTAAGTGGATTGTAAACTTTGTTGAATTATTTAATGTTAGGTGCCATTAATACATGACTCTCTTGTTTGTTTTTGAATTTGATTTTAAATGTACGCAATATATAGAGTTAACACCAGTCATTCATTTCTTCAACTAACTTTCTTACATTGGTTTTGTTCCCTGATAATTTTCCTTTTTGTAGGCGAGTCCAATGAGACTGACCACAGATACAAGTATGTGGGTGCCATTGGGTTGTTTGTCCTACATTTTCAAATTTTCCGTGTGCTGGACAAGAGAATCTTCAGACTTCTTTGGGATGTCTACAAGAAGGTGTGTATGAAAATAGGCAGTCAACTGATTGATGCTGTTGTGTGTTAGTATTATAATTATTTATAATTTACGGGACAGTTCAGTATGATGATGATGAATCCTAAAGATAAATCCAGCGACCCTTAGCTAAACTCAGTACATGCATCCACACTAGCTAAACTCAGTACATGCATCCACACTAGCTAAACTCAGTACATGCATCCACACTAGCTAAACTCAGTCATGCATCCACACTAGCTAAACTCAGTACATGCATCCACACTAGCTAAACTCAGTACATGCATCCACACTAGCTAAACTCAGTACATGCATCCACACTAGCTAAACTCAGTACATGCATCCACACTAGCTAAACTCAGTCATGCATCCACACTAGCTAAACTCAGTACATGCATCCACGCTAGCTAAACTCAGTACATGTACCCACACTAGCTAAACTCAGTACATGCATCCACTCTAGCTAAACTCAGTACATGCATCCACGCTAGCTAAACTCAGTACATGCATCCCCGCTAGCTAAACTCAGTACATGCATCCACGCACATAACTGTGGGTTAGCTGAACGAGACTGAGTGAAACTCATTGTGGCTTGTTCAAGGCCGGCGGATTTCACGTAGACCTGACCGCCACGTGGACACTGCAAGGGGTAACAAAACTGCTGTGCAAAGACAGTTCAGGACTCTATTGGCTGAAGACTTGTGTTGTAGACCTCATGTGTGACCGGACAGTTAGATTGTGATAGTTTCTCTGACAGATGGTATTGACTAGTGGAAATTTACTGTCGTAGTTATTAGCTGCAATGCGTACTGTTTGTGGTGTGATTAAATGTATTTAATACGTTACAGGGTAGATAATATGCATTCCATTTAGATCTCAGTTAGCATTAGATTTAGGGTAGCACTCAGACTTTGTCAGTAGTTATAACTCTTTACGATAAGCCAGACCATGCATTGTTTGTGGCGTTAGCGTTTGCCGATGCACCTCTAGCCCACACGTGGCGTGTGCCATAGCATCTTTGTCAACGGGAGGCAGCGGGTTGAGTTAGCGCTGTACGGGAGTGTGGAAGTGGCTTAGAGCTAATTTCATGAGCGTGAAAAGGCGCGTCTAAGCGATTTTAAAGTTAGAAGCGACCTGGTTTCAGAATAAGGAGCGCTACCCCTCATGAGGTGTAGGCCTACTAGTAAGTTTCTTTTGTTAATAAAGATTGTGTGTGTCTTCAACCAGTGTTTGGCTTAAGTGTGTTTGTCAGCAGTGTTGTTCTGTCATTAGCCTACAGCATAGCCAGTGGAATTGAACCCTAGACATTTACGTTCTTGACAGTGATATAAACACACATGCACACACACATACACACACACACACACACACACACACACACACATATATATATATATATATATATATATATATATATATATATATATATATATATATATATATATATATATATATATATATATATATATATATATATGCACATACTGTTATACACAAAACACACACATGCTAACAGAACTGTCACTTAAAAATCTGGTATTATTGAGGGGTTGTTGCAGTATTCACACAAGCATACACAGTTGTTGCAGAATTCAGACAAGCATACACAGTTGTTGCAGTATTCAGACAAGCATACACAGTTGTTGCAATATTCAGACAAGCATACACAGTTGTTGCAATATTCAAACAAGCATACACAGTTGTTGCAATATTCAGACAAGCATACACAGTTGTTGCAATATTCAAACAAGCATACACAGTTGTTGCAATATTCAGACAAGCATACACAGTTGTTGCAATATTCAGACAAGCATACACAGTTGTTGCAATATTCAAACAAGCATACACAGTTGTTGCAATATTCAGACAAGCATACACAGTTGTTGCAATATTCAGACAAGCATACACAGTTGTTGCAATATTCAGACAAGCATACACAGTTGTTGCAATATTTAGACAAGCATACACAGTTGTTGCAATATTTAGACAAGCATACACAGTTGTTGCAATATTCAGACAAGCATACACAGTTGTTGCAATATTCAAACAAGCATACACAGTTGTTGCAATATTCAGACAAGCATACACAGTTGTTGCAATATTCAGACAAGCATACACAGTTGTTGCAATATTCAGACAAGCATACACAGTTGTTGCAATTTTTAGACAAGCATACACAGTTGTTGCAATATTTAGACAAGCATACACAGTTGTTGCAATATTCAGACAAGCATACACAGTTGTTGCAATATTCAGACAAGCATACACAGTTGTTGCAATATTCAGACAAGCATACACAGTTGTTGCAATATTCAGACAAGCATACACAGTTGTTGCAATTTTTAGACAAGCATACACAGTTGTTGCAATATTTAGAAATTTTCGGACAATCATACACAGTTGTTGCAATATTCAGACAAGCATACACAGTTGTTGCAATATTCAAACAACCATACACAGTTGTTGCAATATTCAGACAAGCATACACAGTTGTTGCAATATTCAGACAAGCATACACAGTTGTCTCAATGTTCAGACAAGCATACACAGTTGTTGCAATATTCAACAACCATACACAGTTGTTGCAATATTCAGACAAGCATACACAGTTGTTGCAATATTCAGACAAGCATACACAGTTGTCTCAATGTTCAGACAAGCAAACACAGTTGTTGCAATATTTAGACAAGCATACACAGTTGTCTCAATGTTCAGAGAAGCATACACAGTTGTTGCAATATTCAGAAATTTTCAGACGATCATACACAGTTGTTGCAATATTCAGACAAGCATACACAGTTGTTGCAATATTCAGACAAGCATACACAGTTGTTGCAATATTCAGACAAGCATACACAGTTGTCGCAGTATTCAGACAAGCATACACGGTTTTCTCAATGTTCAGACAAGCATACACAGTTGTTGCAATATTCAGAAATTGTCAGACAATCATACACAGTTGTTGCAATATTCAGACAAGCATACACAGTTGTTGCAGTATTCAGACAAAACCTGTCAGCAGATGAGGTGAAAACTATGGTCCCATACCGTATCCTTCATGCTTGAGCGGACTGGCTAGAGTCATGGCTGGAGAAACATAATGACAGTTTACTGTAGGCTCATCCTGGGCCAGGTCTTAGAGCAGCAAGTGGCACCATAGATTAGCTGAACATAGAGCCTTCAAGATCTGATTGTAAACATATAGCTAGTTTATTATTAGTCATTGCCCAGGTTGTGATCTGTGCACATTTCACTTCCAACATAATGATTCTTAGGTGCTCACTTTTGTTGACTTGCAAAAATTCATTGATGCCATGTGTACTCTGACACAAAGTCTTTCATTGGGTATGGTCTTTTATTAGCAGAAAGGTATCTCCTAGAAAATTTATACTGTTAGTAGCATGCAGGTATGATCAGCCCATTCTATCCTTGAATTTCTTTACTTTCAGTAGCAGGCAGGTATTTTAAGCCCATTCTCTCCTAGAAATTGTTTACTTTCAGTTGCAGGCAGGTATTTTAAGCCCATTCTCTCCTAGACATTATTTACTTTCAGTAGCTGACAGGTATCCTGAGCCCATTCTCTCCTGAAATGTTAACGTTTCTTAACAGGCAGGTACATAAGCCAATTTTCTCCTACACAATGTTTACTTTCAGTGATCAATGTTTGGCTCACAAAGACTTCAACTAATTACTTTGAAAGAAGAAGTTACAGCAATGACTAGAGTAGTGAAAGCTGTTGTAAAGATTGGATGTGGTTTGTGGAGTTTGAGTGACAATTGGATGTGGTTTGTGGAGTTTCTGTAACAATTGGATGTGGTTTGTGGAGTTTCTGTAACAATTGGATGTGGTTTGTGGAGTTTCTGTAACAATTGGATGTGGTTTGTGGAGTTTCTGTAAAAATTGGATGTGGTTTGTGGAGTTTTTGTTACAATTGGATATGGTGTGTGAAGTTAGTGCAGAAATTCGTTGTTATTAATGGAGTTTGTGTAACAACACTCAAGTAGCAGGAGCATATGTGTAGACACCACAACATACTCATACAAGTAGATATCAACTGAGGCACCATTAAGTTGACTCATCTGTGTGAAGACATATGATCTTCTATATGATCTTCTGCAACCACACAATGTTATCCTGTAGTCATCTTGTATCTGTCTTTTCAGATTCCGTGTGTTCACCTCATTGGGAATGTGCTGTTTTTTCAGATTCCATGTGTTCACCTCATTGGGAATGTGCGGTTTTTTCAGATTCCATGTGTTCACCTCATTGGGAATGTGCTGTTTTTTCAGATTCCGTGTGTCCACCTCATTGGGAATGTGCTGTTTTTTCAGATTCCATGTGTTCGCCTCATTGGGAATGTGCTGTTTTTTCAGATTCCGTGTGTTCACCTCATTGGGAATGTGCTGTTTTTTTCAGATTCCATGTGTTCACCTCATTGGGAATGTGCTGTTTTTTCAGATTCCATGTGTTCACCTCATTGGGAATGTGCTGTTTTTTCAGATTTCATGTGTTCACCTCATTGGGAATGTGCTGTTTTTTCAGATTCCATGTGTTCACCTCATTGGGAATGTGCTGTTTTTTCAGATTCCGTGTGTTCACCTCATTGGGAATGTGCTGTTTTTTCCCAATGAGTTTATCATAGTCAGACTGCCCAATGTCCAGCAGCTGCTTGACCGTAAGTCCCAGATAGCAGTTCAGCAACAGAACCAGGCTTGGCTGGCCACTAAAACCCAGAGTTTGAGCAGGTACGTGGCAGATGTTTTCATATTAGCCCAGGTAAATTAAAGGCTGTTTATGTGTTTGGCCAGGTAAATGTGAGGCATTTTAGTTGTTTGACCAGCTATTATTGTTGTTGTTAACAACCGGCTTACAGAGCAGCTGTTGTTGTTATTGACATAGATGTTCCAGCTTACAGTGCAGCTGTTGTTGTTATTGACATAGATGTTCCAGCTTACAGTGCAACTGTTGTTGTTATTGACATAGATGTTCCAGCTTACAGTGCAACTGTTGTTGTTATTGACATAGATGTTCCAGCTTACAGTGCAGCTGTTGTTGTTATTGACATAGATGTTCCAGCTTACAGTGCAGCTGTTGTTGTTATTGACATAGATGTTCGAGCTTACAGTGCAACTGTTGTTGTTATTGACATAGATGTTCCAGCTTACAGTGCAACTGTTATTCTTCTTCTTATTATTATTGTTGTTGACATAGATTTTTGATCTTATAAGGCAACTTTGTTGTTGTTGTTGTTGTTGACATAGCTGTTTAGGCTTTCAGCGCAGCTATTATTATTGTTGACATAGATGTTCAAGTTTACAGTATAATTTTTGTTGTTGTTGTTAACTGAGGTATTGAAGCTCACAGTACAACTTTTGTTGTTGTTGTTGACTTACACATTAAAGCTAAGAGTACGATTCTTGTTGCTGTTTTTAACTGAGACATTTTAGCTTACAGCACAACTCTTGTTGTTGTTGTTGTTGTTGTTGACTTAGATAATTAACTTAAAGTACAAATCTTGTTGTTTTTATTGTTGACTTAGATAGTTAGGCTTACAGAACAACTCTTGTTGTTGACTTAGACATTCAAGCATACATTGCAACTCTTGTTGTTGTTGACTGGTATATTCTAGCTTACAATACAACTCTCATTGTTGTTGACATAGATGTTCAAGCTTACCATACAACTCTCTTTACTGTTGTTGTTGACTTAGAAGTTTAAGCTTACAGTAAAACTCTGGTTGCTGTTGTTGACTTAGATGTGTACGCTTACAGTACAGTTCTTATTGTTGTTGCTGACGGAGATTTTTGAGCTTATATTCGCAGTTTTAATTGTTATTGTTGTTGTTGACTTAGATGTTTAAGCTTACAGTACAACTCTTAGTGGCGTTGACATAGATGTTCAGGTTTACAGTTCAACTCTTGTTGTTGTTGACTTAGATGTTCAAGCTTAGAATACGACTATTATTATTATCATTGTTGCTGGCAGGTATGTTCAGACTGACAGTGTAACTATTGTTTTTGTTGCTGTTGCTATTGTTGTTGCTGACAGATATGTTCAAACTTACCATGCAACTATTATTAATGTTTGTGTTATTGTTGTTGTTGACAGATCTGTTTATATTTCAAGTGCAAATATTGTTGTTGTTGACTAAGATATTCAACCTTACACTGCAACTATTGTTGTTGTTGTTTTGGACTTAGTTGTTTAAGCTTACCATGCAATTATTGTTGTTATTGTTGACAGAGATGTTTGAGCTTACAGTGCAACTATTCTTTTTGTTTTTGGCAGAGATGTTCAGGTGTACAGTGCAACTGTTGCCGCTTGGATGGTCAGGATGGAGTCGAACATGGAGAGGGGTACAACTTTGATGGAAGATCTCAGTGCCAGATGTATTCTCTTTATCCAAGTAGGTGTTCTCTTTATCCAGTTCTGTTTATACGCAGGACAACACTAACAATGACAAAATATCACAACACTAACAATGACAAAATCATCAGAGATGAAACGGACTATAACACAAATTTTGCCAACTGTGGTCCTGAAATCCCATACTGTTATTGTGGAAGACTTTTCCTAATGCAGATGGGTCTTGCTAGTCACACTCACCATCACCATGGACTGTGAATCCTATGCGTCCTTGCAGCTCAACATAAAACTATCATTTGCAAAGATGAAAAGGTGCCAATCAGTGTGTGCATATTAACTTTGGAAGGTTTATCAAGTTAACAACTCAAGCTGTTATCTCCTCAGGGTCTTCTCTATGCCTACAGCATCAGTCACCAGGTGAGGGGTGTGATGAACTTACACGTGGCCCTCAGCAAGCCCATGACCAAGGCTGCTGTACTGTCTGTGTGCCGCCTCCTGGAGCTGTTGAAGGTCAGCCGCTAGTGACTGTCTGTTGATACATCTGTCTGTATGTGTGTCTGTGTGCCTGTCTGTATGTTAATCATTCTGTCTTTCTGCCTGTCATCTGTGGGAGCTATTGACTGCCAGCCACTAGCGTCTATCAGTGCATCTCTCTGGCATTGTGTATATCTGACTGTCTATCTCTCTGTCTGATTGTCTGTGTCTGTATCTGTGGGTACTCTTGAAGATCAACCACAGATATCTATGAGTGCATCTGTCTCTGTCTGCCTGTCTGTCTGTGAGTCGTCTATTGGAGCTGTTGCATGGTTAGCCACTAGTGTTTGTCTGTTAGTGCATCTGTTTGTTTCTTTCTGTATGTGTGATATATTCTGTTTCTTTTGAAAGATAATCACCAATTTATGGGTGTGTTTATGTGTTTATTTGTGTCTGTATGTGTTTCTTTATTTGTGTGTTTGTATATGTAAATTCGTTTGTGTCCAAATGTGTGTCTTTGTCTGTATATGTATATTTTTGTGTGTGTCCAGGTATATGTGTGTGTGTCTATATGTGGGACCTATCTGTCTGTGTGCTTGTTTAAACATATTGATCTGTTTTAATAATGCGGACACACACAATACATTACACAATTTATTGCCCGGCATATTTTGCTGTATATTGTCAGGTGCGTTACTACAGAGGTCCATCAACATAAAATGAAGCACAAAACTTTGTGTGTGTTGTCTCTTAGAACTGCTGAAGATTCATGACTATCTGCATGTGTTTTTATGCCTGCCTGGATGTGTGTATTTACATGTTTGTGTCAGTTGATCCAGGTGTTTTTTCTTGTAGGCCATTGAATTCACATTCCATAGACGGACCATGTTGGTGACGGAATCCATCAACCACATCATTCAACACTTGTGCTTCAAGGCTCTCAGCTGCATCTCTACCGCCAAGGTTGGTGGCACCATCTGTCGGTTTACATACACACACACACGCACACACACAAACATATATATATATATCTCGGCTGCCAAGGTTGGTGGCACCATCTTTCGATTTACATACACACACACGCACACACACAAACATATATATATCTCGGCTGCCAAGGTTGGTGGCACCATCTTTCGGTTTACCCACACACACACACAGGCACACACACAAACATATATATATCTCGGCTGCCAAGGTTGGTGGCACCATCTTTCGATTTACATACACACACACACGCACACACACAAACATATATATATATCTCGGCTGCCAAGGTTGGTGGCACCATCTTTCGGTTTACCCACACACACATGCACAAATATATATATATCTCGGCTGCCAAGGTTGGTGGCACCATCTTTCGGTTTACACACACACACACAAACATATATATCTCGGCTGCCAAGGTTGGTGGTACCATCTTTCGGTTTACACACACACACACGCACACACACACACACAAACACATATATATCGGCTGCCAAGGTTGTTGGCACCATCTTTCGGTTTACATACACACATGCACGCACACACACACACATATATCTCAGCTGCCAAGGTTGGTGAGACTGTCTGCATGGTTGAATTATTTAATTTTCATCAAACATTTCAATCGAACTAGCTTTGCTCGGTGTATGACTCATTGTCGGATGTTCCATATACCACGTGGGCCTATTTGAACTGTTTATTAAATTTGCATTTGGCACACAATGATAACAGTTACATGAAAATCATTTAACTGTGTTGTTATATCTACTTAACTTATTTCCTCTTCTGGCAATCAGTTCTTTTAATACTGTTCTCGTAATCTGGGTTCTTTTCAGTAATCAATATGCACTTCTTAAAATAGTTGCGGTCCTTAACTTTATGTTTCTATTTTTATGGTCTAGAGAGCTGCTACTCCAACCTCAATGATCTCAGATTTGAAAGTAATTTAAAAAATCTGGGTGTGCCGCATAGTAATTCTCTCTTATCTTCTTCTTTGCATTCACCAAATGTAAATTCTGGTGGAAAGTTCTGATTGTTCATACGCTTCTGACTGCAGTCCTGTTCCAGAACCTGAGTGTTGAATGTGCATCCGTTTTACAGATCTGACTCATTTTTGTGTTAAAGATTATATTGAACCATCTGTCAGTGTTCCCAGGCAGGCGACTAGAGCCCAAGGAGAGTCGTTGCACATATACAAACACATACACGTCTATAGTGCCAACATTGGTGGCACCATCATTCTTGTTACTGTGCTAGTGTTGAATACATATACACTGATGCACGGACACACACACATGTACAAACAATAAGTACGACAAACACTGACACATAGCTGGGGTAATACTGTTGTGTGTTTGTTCCTAGAAACGGATCATGTCAGACAAGCGCTACAGTGAGCGGAGACTGGATGTGTTGTCTGCCCTGGTGTTGGCTGAGTTGTCTCTGCATGGACCAGGTGGGTAGATCCAGTTACATCAACATGGTACTGATTTTCCAGCAACCAAGGAAAGTGTTGTGATAAAGTTATATGGCCTCTCTGTTGATGTTACATCAACCAAGGAAAGTGTTGTGATATAGTTCTATAGCCTCTCTGTTGATGTTACATCAACAAAGGAAAGTGTTGTGATATAGTTCTATAGCCTCTCTGTTGATGTTCCAGCAACAAAGGAAAGTGTTGTGATACACTTGCATGTCCTATGGTTATTGATGTTCCAGCAACAAGGGAAAGTGTTGTAATACAGTTGTAAATATTGGTGATGTTCCAACAGCTAAAGGAATGTATTGTAATGCAGATGTATATCCTGTGTAATAATGTTCCAGCAACAAGGGAAAGTGTTGTAATACAGATGTATATCCTGTGTAATAATGTTCCAGCAACAAGGGAAAGTGTTGTAATACAGATGTATACCCTGTGTAATAATGTTCCAGCAACAAGGGAAAGTGTTGTAATACAGATGTATATCCTGTGTAATAATGTTCCAGCAACAAGGGAAAGTGTTGTAATACAGATGTATACCCTGTGTAATAATGTTCCAGCAACAAGGGAACGTGTTGTAATACAGTTGTATACCCTGTGTAATAATGTTCCAGCAACAAGGGAAAGTGTTGTAATACAGTTGTATACCCTGTGTAATAATGTTCCAGCAACAAGGGAAAGTGTTGTAATACAGATGTATATCCTGTGTAATAATGTTCCAGCAACAAGGGAAAATATTGTAATACAGTTGTATATCCTGTGTAATAATGTTCCAGCAACAAGGGAAAGTGTTGTAATACAGATGTATACCCTGTGTAATAATGTTCCAGCAACAAGGGAAAGTGTAGTAATACAGATGTATATCCTGTGTAATAATGTTCCAGCAACAAGGGAAAGTGTTGTAATACAGATGTATACCCTGTGTAATAATGTTCCAGCAACAAGGGAAAGTGTTGTAATACAGTTGTATACCCTGTGTAATAATGTTCCAGCAACAAGGGAAAGTGTTATAATACAGATGTATATCCTGTGTAATAATGTTCCAGCAACAAGGGAAAGTATTGTAATACAGTTGTATATCCTGTGTAATAATGTTCCAGCAACAAGGGAAAGTGTTGTAATACAGATGTATATCCTGTGTAATAATGTTCCAGCAACAAGGGAAAGTGTTGTAATACAATTGTATATCCTGTGTAATAATGTTCCAGCAACAAGGGAAAGTGTTGTAATACAGATGTATATCCTGTGTAATAATGTTCCAGCAACAAGGGAAAGTGTTGTAATACAGTTGTATACCCTGTGTAATAATGTTCCAGCAACAAGGGAAAGTGTTGTAATACAGATGTATACCCTGTGTAATAATGTTCCAGCAACAAGGGAAAGTGTTGTAATACAGTTGTATACCCTGTGTAATAATGTTCCAGCAACAAGGGAAAGTGTTGTAATACAGATGTATATCCTGTGTAATAATGTTCCAGCAACAAGGGAAAGTGTTGTAATACAGTTGTATATCCTGTGTAATAATGTTCCAGCAACAAGGGAAAGTGTTGTAATACAGATGTATATCCTGTGTAATAATGTTCCAGCAACAAGGGAAAGTGTTGTAATACAGTTGTAAATGTTGTTGATGTTCCAGCAGCAAAAGAAAGTATTCTCATACAGTTGTATCTCCTGTGTATTAATGTTCCAGCAACAACAAAAAAGTATCGTAATACAATCGTATGTCCTGTTTTGTTGGTGTTCTAGTAGCTAAAGAAAGTATTGTAATGCAGTTGTATATCCTGTGTGTTAATGTTCCAGCAACAAAGGAAAGTGTTGTAATACAGTTGTAAATGTTGTTGATGTTCCAGCAACAGAACAAAGTTTTGAAATACAGTTGTATATCCTGTGTTATTGATATTCCAGCAACAAAGGAAAGTGTTGTGATACAGTTGTGTATCGTGTGTTATTGATGTTGTAATACAGTTGTAAATCTTGTTGATGTTGCAGCAACAACAACAAAGTATCGTAATACAATTGTATATCCTGTATTGTTGGTGTTCTAGTAGCTAAAGAATATTGTAATACACTTGTATAGCCTATGTTATTGATGTTTCAGCAACCAGGGAAAGTATTGTAATACAGTTGTATACCCAGTGTTATTGATGTTTCAGCAACCAGGGAAAGTATTTGTTTCATATCACTCCTGTCACGTGCCTGATGTAAGGATTTCTCCTTCAGAACCAACAGCACTCAGAAATAATTATGTTGAGCCGTTCGGCTCGTATTGGTCTAAGGGATTCCCCGTGGCCAATATACGCTCAACTTATTTTTGGAGTAGGGCAACTCAAGTATTGGCACTACAAAATATATCTGTATATGAATACAATATTCCTAGGCACACTTGGCTGGACACCCCCACTACTATTAAAAGAAAGCCCCCAGGTTATGATAGTTCATTATCATAACCATGTTAACACATATATTTAAGATTCATACACACACAAATGCTAAACACTTAAAAAGGTGAAATAGAGACACCTAAGTCAGCCATGAAAATGAATGCATGTAATCAATACAACATATACATATATATATATAATAGTGAAGTAGATGCCAGATCTCAATAGCTGGATTCCAGAATACAATGTCCAGGTTGCAAAGACAACTAAACAGCCAGAATGATCTGGAGATGACACAAATTCATCCTTGGGAAACATGGGAGCTGTGAGGAATATAGCAAAACATGGCATCAAACTGGCACTTATCCTCTTTCTATCGTTGATGCTTCCCTCAGCTCCTGATGATTCGACTGTCTTTGGTAACTCTGCCTCAACTGGATCAGATGGTGGAGAAGTACCTCACCATAAAGGACACAGCAACTGGATAGGCACACAGCAAATCTCTTCCACTAGTCATTCGCAGCACTGTCCCTGAGCTACACACATGCTCTGGCACTGTAAGATGTTTGGGGTATATGGCACCCCATTCTGAGGATGTCAGTCTTCACAATTGGTAGTTGGGTGATAATTGGTAGGTAATAGGTTGATGGTTGGTTGGTTGGACTGTGATTCTTCTGCCAGCTCTTCACAAAGGTTTCATCCTGCCAAGAAAGAACTTAGAATTAGTCATCACCAAGAGGGTAACATCTTGACAGGAAAGACAGAATAAGTATCAGTCACCATCCCACATCAGCCTACTCCACCTCTGCTCCCCTGTTTCATACCTCAGAGTGCACTCTCAAGACCTATCATTCATCTGTCTGTTTAGTGCAAGAGATGGAAAGTCAGATATATAGTGGAGATAGATAGACACTCTAACACATATATCAATCTCTCTCCCCCCTCCCATCTGCACACAGACACCAATATTTACCGTCAGTACCTCTATTCCCTACGACTCTCAAGCCAGTCCCACACATTCATTGATCTGGGTCAAACACACTCACGCGCTAGCCGACCAAGTCCTGACCTAAATTCTCTTTCCCCATTCGTATGCACAAACTTCTGTTGTTAGTTTAAATAGTACACACTTGTAAGGTTATTAGTTTTACCAGTATGTGTGGGTTATTTAGGGCATAGGCTATTTATTCTGTACAGAGGAAGGTCTAAGTTCGAATCCGCTTCTTTAGCGATCAAGAACGGTGTTGTACACTTAATTTTGTACACTTTGTTGAAGATATTCAAGAAAAAAGTATTTAGGCCTAGGGTGCCTATTCAACATTCCGCTGGATATCTCCTTGATGGATGTGCTACAGTGAAGTCCTGCATTCTATAACTGGCACACTTGGCACCGACACAGCATCATGTAATACAGTTGCTATCTTTACAAGCCAACAATAACGCTTGTGACAGGCCACATAAACTTTAATGTGATTAAAGTTACACGTCACAAGATGATGATGATTATTCAATAAAACGTACGATAATAACTCTTTATTATCTACTCTGAGAATATAAAAGAATTACACTCTTTTCTCAATGGACTCCTGCCATTATAATAAATAAATAGACATTAAACTGTCTCCCGTGTAAGTACGGTTAAATAAAACCTCACAAAGAAGGAACGTCCTATTTGGACAAGGAAAATATCTTGACTGCCGAATCCTTTGTGTTCTGCAGGAGCCTTTGTGTTAATCGCCCAGCATTCAATTAGCTGGTATCCCAGGTAACGACCCGACCCGTGGCCGCTGTGTGAACCTTTCACCTGCGCTGTGACCACTAGAAGAAACTAGAAGAAACTTTAACTCTTTGGACAATAAGATTACAACAAACGGTCGAACTATGTGTGATCCCACAGCCGATACTGATCTCTCTACAGCAGTGACCACTTTACAGACATCATTTTATGTACTCGTAAACTATAATTAACTTACCCAAGCATAGGAAAAGTCCTAGGCGCCACAGACCGCCTTTTTCAACATGAAATGTACTGGCGTCGATGGACAAGTCTGAGTTCCAGGAAAGCCGGCAGAATAATACCGCTAAATTTCAATTTAGGCGTTGGTAAGAAGTAGTTCCTTGTATACAGGAGCAAGGAGTAAATCGGTTTCTAAGAAACCTCAAATAACTCCACTAATATTTATCCAATAGTTGCAAATTTGAAAATGACGCTAAGTCAAAGCAACTAGAAGATGTAGATATAATTATGTCCGATAAAGGCATATATCAATATAAGGGACTATATACCTTTCCGGACGAGTCCAAGTTTGAATGTTGTGTCGAGCCCAGGTAAGACAGGTCTCGACTATTTTAGGGATGATGCGTAATGGCTTATCATTCTACGACAGTATTGTATAGCCAGTGTTATTGATGTTTCAGCAACCAAGGAAAGACTGCTGATTGTGAAGCTGGCTATGTCTGTGGGAACCAAGATGGTGAGTTCTGGTGTCTTTCTGTTGGGTCACCAGATCATGTTGGGGATTGGCTGCTTGCAGAATTGTGACACATGATTTGAGTAGACTTTTCATGGAGAGAAAAACACAGATATGACTTAGCTTCAAACCCACTTGAAATGAAGCTTTGGCTATTATTGTAGTTGTTTTTCTTAGTGTTTTAATTTTTTCTTGAGGCAGTTACAACATTTTTTTCTTTTTATATTCTTTCTTTGCGGCAGTTATGTTTGGCCTTTAGATTCTGATCTTTCCTGACTTGATTCTTTCTTTACAGCAGTTATATCTCACCTTTAGATGCTTGTGTATGCTGGCCATGTCTGTCACTGTCCTGGGCTGTCTGACAGGGTTCTGGGCTGTGAGCTTTCCACCGCTTTCAGGATTTCTTTTCCTTGAGGGTCTTGAAAAGCACTGGATGTCATAGGACTTACTTGTGGTTTATTGTCTGCCTTCCATCCGCCATATCTGCTCCCACCTGTTTAATGTTGTATTTGTTTCGTAGTTTCAGTGTTTCTAGGCTTTTGAGTCATGAACCCTTTTTCATAATTACTCCTACAATTGCTGGCTATCTATCTCACATTTTCATTCACCTCCTACAAATTCTTTGAACTGTTATTTCACGTTTTTCAGCTAAATTTGGTTTTTGTCATTGTTGTTTTTGTTTTGTTTTTTAGAGTAATGTGGCATCTTGACTAAATTCTTGACAACTGTAACCTTACTTCTCTCTCTCTTCCACCTGGTTACGTTAACAGCAATCACACTAGATGACAACACTGAATTTAGATCATATGTTTATTGCTGTTCCAACAGTTGCATTGGTCCGTCACTGTCCTTAGCCATCACTCGTTTTTCTAGGGAATTTGCCACCACTGCCACCACTTCAGATCTACAATTCTAACAACCATCTATTTACCTTTTAAACTCAAAGTTCCAATCATATAGTGAAGGGAACAGGTCTTTGTATTAATGAGAAATAGACATGATCATTTTAGATAATGTAGGGTCAGGTCTCTATTTGGATTAGTGTTGCGATAAACATTATTTTAGATAGTGAAGGGAACAGTTCTCTTTGTGATGTAATAGATTTTGATCATTTCAGATAGAAAAAGGAATTGTGTTCTTGTTGTCAGTTATATAATATACATGATCATTTTAGATAGTGAGGGGAGCAATTCTCTTTGTGCAAGTGACATTGTGTATTCAGTGCTGGGTTGTATTGTCTAGATGTACTGTTGATCCATGGGTTCTGTATACAAACTCCGCATGTGTTGTGTCTAAGTTGATGCTAGTGCTGACTTGTGAAGATACTGGGGGGGATTCCAGGTTTATCTTGGCTAATACTTGTGCTGACTGTTGCCTTGGCAGAAAGCCTTCAAGGAGGATGAGCTGCAGATCATTGAGGATACACTGAAGAAGCTGGAAGTCATCAGTCAGTTAAGATCAAAGTGAGTAGCGCAACTGCCATCAGTCAGTTACTGGGATGTAATACGGTCTCTGATGTTTGGAAGTTCCTAATGTTGTTATCACAAAGTCACAGTCATGTCTCTGGTCATTATGATGTTGTTTTATAATATAGTTATATCTCCACTATTGTGATGGTGTTTCCAATGTGGTTGTGATGTTTTCAATGTCATGGCAATGTCTCTGATGTTGTTTTAACATATGTGATGTGTCATAATGTCCCTGATGTGCGACAATGCCTCTAATTTTGTATTGGCATCTCTGATGAGTGATAATATATGTGATGTGTGATGACATCTTTGATGTGTGATAATGTATCTGATGTGTGATGATGTCTCTGATTTGCGATGATGTCTCTGATGTGTGATGATGTTTGTGATGTGTTATGATGTCTGTGACATGTAATGATGCCTCTGATGTCTGATGATGTATGTGATGTGTGATGCTGTCATGAATTTGTGATGATGCCCTTGGTTTGTGATGAAGTCCCTGATGTGTGATGGTGTTTGTGATGTGTGATGATGTCTCTGTGTGGTGATGTCTCTAAAACACCATGACTGCAAATGTTTCTGTTGTCAGTTTTCCTGTGTGGTTCTCTGCCTGTCTGTCTGCATGTTTGTCTGTCTCTCTGTGTGGATGGCTGTGTGTCTCAGCTGTAGTAGTATTCTTTTACAGTGTCGGTGTGTCTTTCTTTTTATTTTCCTGACTCAGCATGCAGAAAACACTGTTCGTCTACTTCATCATCACTGTTAGGGTAAAAAGTTTGTGCAAATCATGTTTGCACTTGATGATAATGATGTAACAGTTTGTGCAAATCATGTTTGCACTTTATGATAATGATGTTACAGTTTGTGCAGATGCTGTTGGCACTTGATAATGATGTAACAGTTTGTACAGATGCTGTTGGCACTTGATAATGATGTAACAGTTTGTACAGATAATGTTGGCACTTGATAATGATGTAACAGTTTGTACAGATGATGTTGGCACTTGATAATGATGTAACGGTTTGTACAGATAATGTTGGCACTTGATAATGATGTAATAGTTTGTACAGATGATTTTGGCACTTGATGGGTAACAAATAGGGTAGAAAGTACATGACATTGCATAATGAGTTAAGTGATGATTGACACACATGCATAATCTCTCTCTCTCTCTCTCTCTCTCTCTCTCTCTCTCTCTCTCTCTCTCTCTCTCTCTCTCTCTCTCTCTCTCTCTCTCTCTCTCTCTCTCTCTCTCTCTCTCTCTCTCTCTCTCTCTCTCTCTCTCTCACACACACACACACACACACACAAACACGCACTCTCTCAATATCTCTCTCTCACAAATATGCAATTGCACACACCTATGCGTAATCACAGACATGCATGTGCACATACACAACCACACACATGCGTAATCTGGTAATCTGGTAATCCTAGTTTCAGCTTCATAGCAAACGGGTCACCCCACAGATGCTCTGCTCCTGTGCCAAGGAAAAACAAACGCAGCTCACAGTGTCACGCCATGCACTCAGCTCAGAAGCTGGGCGACGAAACTACATCCTTTCAGTCTACAAATGGAGCAAAAATGCAGCGGCCACCGTCTAGCCCAAAAAAAAAAACATTTGCCACGGCTTTTAAAAAAAAATTTTTAAAAAGGTGGCCGTGCCTAGGGTCCATTTTGACCGGAAGAATTATATGAGGGTTAATTAACGGTCACCCCAGCAGTACCCTCATTATTAGCTGGGGAAGGGGCTTAGCACATTACATCCACCAGCAGGCGTCGTTCCTACAACGACCTGCCTGTCATCGTTAACAACTGTTCACCCAACAGCCATGCAGTTCTTTGGCACGAAGGAGACACCTTGAACTTGGGTTTCGGACTGCCGACTCCCTACTAAGATGTTATTTTATGTTTTGTTATCACAATTAATGTCACTGCACATTGGGCATACCCATGCGTGCTCAGTTCTCCGAAGCAGCAGCCACTCCAAAGTACTTCTACTAATTGTCCCTATGAGAAGCTGATGCGTGTGCACCCACATGCACACTCGCATACTTGTACACACATATGTACACACAAACAAACCCACAGACATGCATATGCACATGTAAACACACATGCTCACACACACACACACATGTAAACACACACACTCCCACACACACCCACACACACACACACATGCTCTCACCCATACACAGACACACCCTCCCAAACACTGTACAATAGTTGTATATTTTGTCTGCCAGGGTTCGCCAGGCCTGTGACTGCAGTTTTCTTTATTGGCATAGAGTTATCTTCCCTTTGTATTTGGACGACCTCTGTGAAAATGTCACAGACACACACAGAATCCATGTAAGTTGACATCACCACTACCTTTGTCCTTGTGAACTGTTACTGTGAAAATGTCACAGACACACAGAATCCATGTAAGTTGACATCACCACTACGTTTGTCCTTGTGAACTGTTACTGTGAAAATGTCACAGACACACACAGAATCCATGTAAGTTGACATCACCAATACTTTTGTCCATGTGAACTGCTACTGTAAAAATGTCACAGACACACTGAATCCATGTAAGTTGACATCACCACTACCTTTGTCCTTGTGAACTGTTACTGTGAAAATGTCACAGACACACACAGAATCCATGTAAGTTGACATCACCACTACCTTTGTCCGTGTGAACTGTTACTGTGAAAATGTCACAGACACACACAGAATCCATGTAAGTTGACATCACCACTACATTTGTCCATGTGAACTGTTACTGTGAAAAGGAGCAAACTTATAGTTCCACAAGTAAGGGTTTCGCTTTATCAGTATAACCGCTGATATAAACTGGGGACTCAAGACTTGATTTCTGTATAAATGTAGCAGTGTGACCCAGACCCATGGTACGGACAGTGACTGATGACTGTAGCAGGGTGACCCATGATATGGAGAAAGACTAATAAGTCTAGCAGTGTGAACCAAACCCATGATTTGGACATTGACTCATAACTATAGCAGTGTGACCCATGATATTGACAGTACCTGATAACTGTAGAAGTGTGACCCATGATATGGACATTGACTGATAACTGTAGCAGTGTGACCCATGATATGGACAGTACCTGATAACTGTAGAAGTGTGACCCATGATATGGACAGTGCATGATACTGTAGAAGTGTGACTTATGAGATGGACAGTGCCTGATTACCTTTTTATGGACAGCATCAAACTCAATAATCTACTATCTATCGGCAGTACATGGTTGCAGCCTTGAGAGACTGTGTGCCACAGATGTATGCAGTCAGACACCTGGAATCCAGCCAGCAGCTCATGGCCGCCTTTGATCAGGAAATATCCAAGAATTTCACGGATGTGAGTTGCTGTCACCATGGATCCCTCCTCTAAGCTGATTGTGTGTTTATGTCATATTTTGTGTGTGTTGTGGATTACAGTTGCATGTTGTGTGTGTGGATTACAGTTGCTTGCTGAGTGTATGGATTACAGTTGCTTGCTGAGTGTATGGATTAGATTTGCATGTTGTGTGTGTGGATTACAGTTGTGTGTGTGTGGATTACAGTTGTATGTTGTGTGTATGGATTACAGTTGCATGCTATGTGTATGGATTACAGTTGAATGTTATGTGTATGAATTACAGTTTCATGTAGTGTGTATGGATTACAGTTGCATGTTGTGTGTATGGATTACAGTTGTATGTTGTGTGTATGGATTACAATTGCATGTTGTGTGTATGGATTACAGTTGCATGTTATGTGCATGGATTACATTTGAATGTTGTGTATATGGATTGCAGTTACATGTTGTGTGTATGGATTACAGTTGCATGTTGTGTATATGGATTACAGTTGCATGTTGTGTGTATGGATTACAGTTGAATTTTTGTATGTATGGATTACAGTTGAATTTTGTGTGTATGGATTACAGTTGCATGTTGTGTATATGGATTACAGCTGTGTGTATGGATTACAGTTACATGTTGTGTGTGTTTGTGCGTACATGTAAAGGTCTATGATAGTGACATTCTCCTATTTATTTCAGCATCTTTTGGAGCCACTGTGTCGAGCCATTGAGACAGATCTGCGCCTTCACATCCACCTCCACCTGCAGCTGGACGATCGCAACCCTTTTAAAGTTGGCATGCGTGACCTGTCCCACTTATTGAAGGTCAAACCTGTCCGTTTCTTTGATCGGGCAATCAATTTTAAAGGTTTTCTTTATTTATTTGTGTGTGTGTGTTTGTTTAAAAAAAATTTTTTTGTTTTAAATTACATTAAATAAATTATGCATGGAAAAATCGTGCAAAATATAGAACATGAATACACTGACAGTTTTAGAGCTCTAAAAGGCAACTTTAGATGACAGAATAGACATTGTTAGGTGACACAATGGACAGCACTGGGTACCAAAATAGACTAATATGAACATTTTATGACAAAATTGACCAATAGACAACAATTGATGACAGACTAGACTAAAAGACAAATAGACTAATAGACAATAGTTGATGATAGAATAGACTAACAGACAACAATTGATGACAGAATAAACAAAAAGACAAATAGGCTAATTGACAACAAATAATGACAGACTAGACTAAAAGACAAATAGACTAATTGACAACAATTGATGACAGAATAGACTAAAAGACAACAATTGATGACAAAATAGACTAATAGACAACATTAGATGACAGAATGGACAGCATTAGGTAAAAAAATAGACCAGTAGAAACATTTTATGACAGAATAGACTTATAGACAATAATTGATCACAGAATAGACTAATAGACAACAACTAATGGCAAAATAGACTAATAGACAACAATTGATAACAAAATAGACAAATAGACGACAGTAGGTGTCAGAATAGCAACATTATGTGACAGAGTGAACAACAATATATGACAGAATTGACACCATTTGGTGACAAAATTTACACATTTTGTTTGTGTTTGTTATGTTGTAAAGTTCGCTGATATACATTTCATTTGTTTTTATATCTTTTTCTGATATTTTTATAGCTTCATAACAATTCATTAATTTCACATACTAGTGTGTCCCACATGCCCAGAACTGCTACTATGTTTGTGCCTGTCACACTCGACTGCTCTTTTGTTTACGGTTACAGGTGTCATTTTATAAATATATAAACATCAGTCCTTGCCAAGCAGCAAACATTATGGAAATCTAAAAACATTTCATACAAGACTAAGATTCAATTGCTTAGAGCACTAGCTATTAGTACATTTACCTATGGCAGTGAAATGTAGACCTTAACAGCTGAACTTGAAAGAAAAATACAAACATTAGGAATGGGATGTTTCAGAAAAATTCTTGGCATATCCTACAGAGACGACATTACAAACGAGGAAATTCGCCATCAAATTATACGGCACATTGGCAACTATGAACTTCTTTTAACCAAAGTGAAAATTAGAAAAATCCAATGATGTGGACATGCAATAAGATCTAACGGCCTCTCAAAAACAATACTGCAGGGCTCAATAGAGGGAAAGAGGAGAGGAGGCAGACCAAGAAAGGCCTAGTTATAGAACCTGACGGACTGGACAGGCCTCAGGCATGCAACCATGAAGTCTATCAGAACTGACCGCCAAAGGTGGAGAGAGCCGATCACACAGTCAACAGAAACTGGTGACCTACAATGACACGTAGTGTTATGGGATGATGATGATTATATATATATATAAAAAATATTGTTTGAATCAGTATTTCAATTTTTTTCATTCTATTTTTACATCCGCGTTCTCTCCTAGCTACTCATTTCACCTTTCTGCTATCGCGTTGATCTGGCACCAAGATGATGCTTAGTTATGCCCGCCTCTTAATGGGCCACCTCAAGCATCACATACCTCATGCTTATACCGGTAGGCTACCTGAGCTCTACAAGAGGTATAGTGATGATTGCATCGGTGTCACCAATATGTTCCTACCTGAGCTCTACAAGAGGTATAGTGATGATTGCATCGGTGTCACCATCTACAAGAGGTATAGTGATGATTGCATCGGTGTCACCAATATGTTCCTCCCTGAGCTCTACAAGAGGTATAGTGATGATTGCATCGGTGTCACCAATATGTTCCTACCTGAGCTCTACAAGAGGTATAGTGATGATTGCATCGGTGTCACCAATATGTTCCTACCTGAGCTCTACAAGAGGTATAGTGATGATTGCATCGGTGTCACCATCTACAAGAGGTATAGTGATGATTGCATCAGTGTCACCAATATGTTCCTCCCTGAGCTCTACAAGAGGTATAGTGATGATTGCATCGGTGTCACCATCTACAAAAGGTATAGTGATGATTGCATCGGTGTCACCATCTACAAGAGGTATAGTGATGATTGCATCGGTGTCACCAATATGTTCCTCCCTGAGCTCTACAAGAGGTATAGTGATGATTGCATCGGTGTCACCATCTACAAGAGTTATAGTGATGATTGCATCGGTGTCACCATCTACAAGAGGTATAGTGATGATTGCATCGGTGTCACCATCTACAAGAGGTTTAGTGATAATTGCATCGGTGTCACCAATATGTCCCTACCTGAATTGCAAAAATGTATTCATTTTTTTTCCAACTTCCATCCTAGCATCCATTACACTTTTAGCATTTTACCCTTGTCGGTACATTTTCTGGATCTCACTGTCATCATGGACTCTAATGGCCTCAGCAACTTGGTATAGTATAAGCCGACTGATTTCCATGCTTTTCTTCTTTACATGTCCTCTCATCCCTCTTCCTTTCTCTCAGTTTCTACGCCTCCGCAGACTATGCCAGGAGAACGACTTTCACAACAAGGCTCTACAAATGTTGGACTTCTTCCGGCTTTGAGGGTATCCTGAACATGTCTGATCTGCTGCCTTTCACCGAGCATGGTCTATCCATCATGCTGAAGCTCCCGTTTGCATGCCTAAACGTCGGCACAACAGACACATTCTCATACTTACCTACAACCCTCACAACATCCGTGCTAAAAATATTCTCCTCAAGCATCTCTCCGTCCTTGGGGCTGACCCTACGACTAGCACAATTTTCTCTGAGCTTCCTCTAGTAGCCTACAGGAAAAACCGTAACCTCAAGGACATTCTTGTTAAGAGCTGGTTATGACCTGCCTTCGAGTCCCACTTCAGGACGGTCTCTTGCCACAGACCTGTATGCAGGAGCTGTCCACATGTGGTTCAGGCTACCAGACTGGAATTCCTGATGCCACCTTTCATATATGTGAAGCATTCTATTGCACTAGCCTTAATGTCATTTACTCTGTCAACTGCATTAAGTACATCAGTAACAGAGTAGACAACATTGTTGACAAAGTGGGCATTATTAGGTGGCAGAATAGACTAATAGAGAACATTAGGTGACAGGGTGGAGAATTTTTAGGGACAGAATAGTATAATAGACAACATTAGGTGACAGGGTGGAGAATTTTTAGGGACAGAATAGTATAATTGACAACATTAGGTGACAGGGTGGAGAATTTTTAGGGACAGAATAGTATAATTGACAACATTAGGTGAGAGGGTGGAGAATTTTTAGGGACAGAATAGGATAATAGACAACATTAGGTGAGAGTGAAAAACATTAGGTGACAGATTAAGCAACATTAGGCGACATAGTGATAACATTATGTGACATACTAGAGAGTAGACAACATTAGGTGACATATTAGACTAAAAGACAACATTTAAGTGACAGAATGAGCAGCATTAAACATGGAGTAGATTATGTCAGGTTGCACAGTAAACATAGAATGCTCGAATATGATGGGTATAGGTGTGATTTATTCAGCAACACAACGTCACAGTGTGATTTATATATGAAATGTGATTTGTTTTTGAGCAGCTCATGTGGAACATTACCTCAATCGAACATTTTACAATCTAACAACCGTGGCACTGCATGACTGGAAAACTTACGGGGAGATGAAAAATATGGCTGAACAGAAGTACGGCCTGACACTGATGGAGTCACACCTTCCTAGTCAGACGCTAGAACAGGTATATCTATGACAGCAAAACATGTGAACAGTGTCTGGAAGTTAGATGCTTCTAGAGTTATTTGAACTAGCCAGACTTTACATTAGTTGTCTGTACAAGACATACATTAGATCATTTGTCTGTTTAAGCTGACTGTTATATGATTTGTCAGCTCAGGACTGACATTAATGTGTATGAGTTGTCTGCGAAGGCAGTATATTTCAAAAATGTTTCTGCTAATCAGACTTTACATCAATGTCTGAACAAACCAGACTATTTGATATTGATTATTTGTTGAAGCAAACCATGTGAACTGTGCCCGTGCAACTATGCTTTATAACAGCTTTTATGTTAGGCTATTTGTAATATTATTTACCAGAACCAAGCCCGGATGAGAAAGGAGAGTTGAGCTTGGTGCTCACTCCCCCACCCTGTTTATTTACTTGTAGGAAATGATGCCATTCTGGTCAACAAATGAATCAAGTGATGTGTTGTGCACAGAGTGCATGTATGATGGTTACTAGTGAAAGCCACTCTACAGATGTCAGTGGCCAGACATACATAATACTTGACTTAAAAGCAAACACTCCAATACATTTTTTGAATGCTAGACTATGGTGCAGGCCAAAAAAATCTACCCAGGCAGCTGAAAAAAATGATATACGAACTAGACATTTTAGGGTTAAGATGAACTTGAGAAGATTTTTACTGTTAAACTAGACTTTGTTTTAGAACTGAAAGAGCTATTGCCAAGAGGTTTGGGCAGTTACCGGCCAAAGAAAGGCACCTGGTCAAATGTGACCACATTTGCCTTTGATGTTTATGAGGAATTCCATAATAGACAGGAAATGGTAGTGACAGCACTGGATCTTGAGGCTGCCTACAATAGAGTCAGTTATAATATGTTGGGATTTGCTCTCATGGGGAAAAAGGGGGGGGGGGGGGGGGGGGGGGGGGGTCCTTGACTGGTTAACTAGATAGCAGTTGTCCTGCATTTACATAAGGTCACTCTCTGCCTGAGTGCATCCACCTCAGAAGAATGCAATATTGCCCCAGGACTACCCCAGGGATATGGAATTTCACCAGTGCTGTTCATTGTGTATATAAACAGGATTGCAGAGCTTGAGTCATCAGGGGTTGGAAGAATATTGACATTTGCATATAGGCAGGGGAGAGATAGGCAACAGACAGCCACAGAACTACAGACATTCGATCCTGTCAGTGATAAATTATTGGTTTGGAGTGCTTACCATGACAGAGTGTCAGCTGATGTATCTTGAACACGCACAGAATGAAGCCATGTAGGTAATTATAGTATGTACAAGAGATACCCAAGTAGTATGTATGTAATATATTCTGGCACTGCCGACTATTACAGATGGGCTCAAAATGCTGCAAGCTAAGTCATATCTCCGAGTAGCCAAAGATAAGAAACACCTGCTGCATAAAGCCCTGGACAGAGCCAAGGGTCACAGACTGAAACAAGGCATTTCTTGGATGGCACAAGCTGAAGACAGAATTAGACATGTGTGCGGGATTAATAACATTGGATGAGTAGAGGAGTGAGTCAGAATATCCCAGCAAAAGTCAGACTTGTATAGGATTCTGATCACAAACCCGCTTGGTAATCTCCCACTGTGCCTTCAACATATGGTTTTAGCCTCTTTAGCACTACTGCTGATAGTATCTTGTAGCTCGTAGGTGATAATGATAATCCTCTGTAATTTTTACATGTATACTCGTCCCCTTTCTTTAAAATAGGTATACAAATGGCACTTTCCACTCAAAGGGTAATTTCTCGGTCGTCCACACAAGTTTGATTAATTCAGATATATTTAACTGTAATGCATGACCACATTGTTTTATAAGTCCAGCAGCAGTTCCATCAGCATCTGTTGCTTTATGTCTTGTGATGTTATAGCTGTACTAATGTAACATATCTTTGATACTTGTGATGTTATAGCTGTACTAATGTAACATATCTTTGATACTTGTGATGTTATAGCTGTACTAATGTAACATATCTTTGATACTTGTGATGTTATAGCTGTACTAATGTAACATATCTTTGATACTTGTGATGTTATAGCTGTACTAATGTAACATATCTTTGATACTTGTGATGTTATAGCTGTACTAATGTAACATATCTTTGATACTTGTGATGTTAAAGCTGTACTAATGTAACATATCTTTGATACTTGTGATGTTATAGCTGTACTAATGTAACATATATTTGATACTTATGATGTTATAGCTGTACTAATGTAACATATCTTTGATACTTGTGATGTTATAGCTGTACTAATGTAACATATCTGTGATACTTGTGATGTTATAGCTGTACTAGTGTAACATATCTTTGATACTTGTGATGTTATAGCTGTACTAATGTAACATATCTTTGATACTTGTGATGTTATAGCTGTACTAATGTAACATATCTTTGATACTTGTGATGTTATAGCTGTACTAATGTAACATATCTTTGATATTTGTGATGTTATAGCTGTACTAATGTAACATATCTTTAATACTTGTGATGTTATAGCTGTATAATGTTGCTGTGATACTTGTTCTGAAGTCCTAGTTAGTCTAATGTAATGAAGTCCTAACTGGTCTAATGTAATGTTGCTGTGCTGTCACCTGTCCAACATCAGTTTTGACATTTGCCTCTTGCTTGTTGCCAGGGTCTGGATGTGCTAGAGATCATGAGGAACATCCATGTCTTTGTTTCAAAGTTCCTCTACAATCTCAATAATCAGGTATTAATTAGTACATGAGTGTCATGTGATAGTGGTCAGTAGTTATGTCAGTGGCAGCTAACATGGTACTAAAGCAGTCGCTGGTTATAGGTAGTAGAGTGCCAGCTAACATGGTACTAAAGCAGTCGCTGGTTATAGGTAGTAGAGTGCCAGCTAACATGTTACTAAAGCAGTCGCTGGTTATAGGTAGTAGAGTGCCAGCTAACATGGTACTAAAGCAGTCGCTGGTTATAAGTAGTAGAGTGCCAGCTAAGATGGTACTAAAGCAGTCGCTGGTTATAAGTAGTAGAGTGCCAGCTAACATGGTACTAAAGCAGTCGCTGGTTATAAGTAGTAGAGTGCCAGCTAACATGTTACTAAAGCAGTCGCTGGTTAAAAGTAGTAGAGTGCCAGCTAACATGGTACTAAAGCAGTCGCTGGTTATAGGTAGTAGAGTGCCAGCTAACATGGTACTAAAGCAGTCGCTGGTTAAAAGTAGTAGAGTGCCAGCTAACATGGTACTAAAGCAGTCGCTGGTTATAGGTAGTAGAGTGCCAGCTAACATGGTACTAAAGCAGTCGCTGGTTATAAGTAGTAGAGTGCCAGCTAACATGTGTTTCTGTAGTTATGGGTGTGGGGTGAGATGATATAGTTGAGTTTGTGCTGGCTGAGACATTAGTAACAGTGTATTACAGTGAACAGAGAGTGTCATACGTCATTGACAGTGTGTACAGTGATTAGAGAGTGTCACACCTCATTGACAGTGTGTACAGTGATTAGAGTGTGTCTTTTGGCACCTACACTAGGTGGGTACCGCCTGGGCAGAGATACCTGATGGCGCCTACACTAGGTGGGTACCGCCCGGGCAGAGATACCTGATGGAAAGCTGCAGTATTTATTAAACTTCCTTAACATGGTTCTCCATCTAACTTGAAGTTCCCATGTTCATACCATGACCAAAAAAAGTAGCACAAAAAGTATATCAACTTGGAAAAATTCAGCACTTTCTGGACGAAAATACATGTAAAATATTTTATGTATCCTACATTCAAATGCATATTGACTATTGTTCCACAATTTGGGATGGCTGCTCCAAATCTAATGTCAAACAGCTGAGTTCTCTACAAAATAGGGCCTTACGTCTAGTTTCCGATAGAAACTACGTTGAGAAAAATCTTTTATATGGGCATTTAAGACTTCTACCATTTAGTAAACGTTTAATTTTTAATAAGGCCAGATTCATTCAAAAAATCCTATCTAAAGATACTCCAAATTACATCGACCGATTGATTCAATCTAATCCTAAGGATAGCAAGCGACTAAGTTTATTAGATTTGCCCAAAACCAGAACTGATTTATTTAAAACAAGTTTAGCATATTCTGCAGCCCATTTTCCACTCGATCTGAAAACTACAGAGTTCCTACTTCTTTAACTGCAAACTCTTTCATTTCATGATTACCAGTGATTATATGCCACCTTAATGTAGTTAATAATCCACACTGCATTACTACTTATAATTAATTACAGTGTGTATGATATGTATGTATGCGTATATGTGTGACATGATTGCGTGTGTGTGTATGTATGATTTTGTGTGGGTATGAGTGTATGTATGGGTAACTGTATAAGTTTGTTTGTTTGTCTTGTGGGTCTGTGTGTGTGTAAGTGTATGTCTCTGTGTGTGGGCGTGTGTCTGTGTGTCAGTCTGCGTTGGTTCGTCTATATGCGCGTTTTTATGTTCATATCTATGTGTGTCTGTAAGCGTGTCAGTGTGCGTGTCAGTCCATGTTGTGTATCCGTATGTGTGGCTGAGTATGTTTATGTGTGTGTGTGTCTATCTGTCTGTCTGTTTGTTGTATCTATGTTGTGTCTGTAGGTGTTTCTGCGTGTGTGTCTGTGGGTCTATGCCTGCATGTGTCTGTGGGTCTATGCCTGCGTGTGTCTGTGGGTCTATGCCTGCGTGTGTCTGTGGGTCTATGCCTGCGTGTGTCTGTGGGTCTATGCCTGCGTGTGTCTGTGGGTCTATGCATGGGTGTGTCTGTGGGTGTATGCCTGCATGTGTGTCTGTGGGTCTATGCCTGCGTGTGTCTGTGGGTCTATGCCTGCGTGTGTGTCTGTGGGTCTATGCCTGCGTGTGTCTTTGGGTCTATGCCTGCGTGTGTGTCTGTGGGTCTATGCCTGCGTGTGTCTGTGGGTCCATGCCTGAGTGTGTCTGTGGGTCACAGAGAGAATGGACGGATTTACCAGTAGACATGCATGACTTGTCTGAGGTTGTCATAACACTGGAGAGGTACTACAGGAGTCAGATGTTTGCCACCGTAGATGCCAAGATTAGAACACTGATTGATCAGCGTTCACGCTCAGAAGGCGTCACCATTTACGACATGGCGTCACCATTTACGTAATGGATCAAGAACGGCATGGGCTTACGCAGCACAAAGGATAGAGAAAACAATAAAATGAGGATAGATATGCTCACCAGACAACTACATCAATCATGACCACTTAGATAACTGCTGCTTCCAGAGCACTTGTATGGGTAGCAGAACCAGCGACCACACATGCGGTAATCATTTCAGACTGTGAACATGCTTCAGAAAATCGCTACAAGCAGTCTACACTACAGATGTGTAGAAAGCATTCAAACGTCCCAGTTAACCTTCATCACTGGATCTACACACCTGAGCATACAGAAGTCAATATAAATGAAAGAGCTGGGAAGTAATACACCAATGCAAGTGGGAGGAAGCATGGACAGAGCTGATATCATCAACACTGTAGGACTAGGTTGGGGGATCATCATGAATCTCTCACACCACCTTGACTGCGTGACCCAGGAGTTGAGCTCGGTGAAGCATGGACAGAGCTGATATCATCAACACTGTAGCACTAGGTTGGGGGATCATCGTGAATCCCTCACACCAACTTGACTGCCTGACCCAGGAGTTGAGCTCGGTGAAGCATGGACACAGCTGATATCATCAACACTGTAGGACTAGGTTGGGGGATCATCATGAATCTCTCACACCACCTTGACTGCGTGACCCAGGAGTTGAGCGCTCGGTGAAGCATGGACAGAGCTGATATCATCAACACTGTAGCACTAGGTTGGGGGATAACGGCGAATCTCTCACACCAACTTGACTGCGTGACCCAGGAGTTGAGCTCGGTGAAGCATGGACAGAGCTGAAATCATCAACACTGTAGGACTAGGTTGGGGGATCATCATGAATCTCTCACACCACCTTGACTGCGTGACCCAGGAGTTGAGCTCGGTGAAGCATGGACACAGCTGATATCATCAACACTGTAGGACTAGGTTGGGGGATCATCATGAATCTCTCACACCACCTTGACTGCGTGACCCAGGAGTTGAGCTCGGTGAAGCATGGACACAGCTGATATCATCAACACTGTAGGACTAGGTTAGGGGATCATCATGAATCTCTCACACCACCTTGACTGCGTGACCCAGGAGTTGAGCTCGGTGAATCATGGACAGAGCTGATATCATCAACACTGTAGGACTAGGTTCATCGTGAATCTCTTACACCAACTTGACTGCGTGACCCAGGAGTTGAGCTCGGTGAAGCATGGACAGAGCTGATATCATCTACACTGTAGGACTAGGTTCATCGTGAATCTCTTACACCAACTTGACTGCGTGACCCAGGAGTTGAGCTCGGTGAAGCATGGACACAGCTGATATCATCAACACTGTAGGACTAGGTTCATCGTGAATCTCTTACACCAACTTGACTGCGTGACTTAAGAGTTGAGCTCGGTGAACCATGGACAGAGCTGATATCATCAACACTGTAGGACTAGGTTCATCGTGAATCTCTCACACCAACTTGACTGCGTGACCCAGGAGTTGAGCTCTGTGAAGCATGGACAGAGCTGATATCATCAACACTGTAGGACTAGGTTGGGGGATCATCTTGAATATCTCACACCAACTTGACTGCGTAACCCAGGAGTTGAGCTCGGTGAAGCATGGACACAGCTGATATCATCAACACTGTAGGACTAGGTTGGGCTATGACGGCGAATCTCTCACACCAACTTGACTGCGTAACCCAGGAGTTGAGCTCGGTGAAGCATGGACACAGCTGATATCATCAACACTGTAGGACTAGGTTGGGGGATAACGGCGAATCTCTCACACCAACTTGACTGCGTGACCCAGGAGTTGAGCTCGGTGAAGCATGGACACAGCTGATATCATCAACACTGTAGGACTAGGTTAGGGGATCATCATGAATCTCTCACACCAACTTGACTGCGTGACCCAGGAGTTGAGCTAGGTGAAGCATGGACACAGCTGATATCATCAACACTGTAGGACTAGGTTGGGGGATCATCGTGAATCTCTCACACCAACTTGACTGCCTGACCCAGGAGTTGAGCTCGGTAAAGCATGGACACAGCTGATATCATCAACACTGTTGGACTAGGTTGGGGGATCATCGTGAATATCTCACACCAACTTGACTGCGTGACCCAGGAGTTGAGCTCGGTGAAGCATGGACACAGCTGATATCATCAACACTGTAGGACTAGTTTGGGGGATCATCGTGAATATCTCACACCAACTTGACTGCCTGACCCAGGAGTTGAGCTCGGTGAAGCATGGACACAGATGATATCATCAACACTGTAGGACTAGGTTGGGGGATAACGGCGAATCTCTCACACCAACTTGACTGCATGACCCAGGAGTTGAGCTCGGTGAAGCATGGACACAGCTGATATCATCAACACTGTAGGACTAGGTTGGGGGATCATCATGAATATCTCACACCAACTTGACTGCGTGACCCAGGAGTTGAGCTCGGTGAAGCATGGACACAGCTGATATCATCAACACTGTAGGACTAGGTTGGGGGATCATCATGAATATCTCACACCAACTTGACTGCGTGACCCAGGAGTTGAGCTCGGTGAAGCATGGACACAGCTGATATCATCAACACTGTAGGACTAGGTTGGGCTATGACGGCGAATCTCTCACACCAAC